TGCAGAAAGCGGTTTACATCGCAAATTGTTGGATATTTCTAATTTTCTACTTACTTTCGAATTGGAATTAGTTGCTAACAAAGAGTTAAGAGCGAAAACCCCCATTAAGTTGAATTAAGTTGAAAAAAAGAAAATATATAACACAATAAAATGGACATGTCAATGTATTATTGTTATTATAGCTTTTGTTTTTTGATTAGTATTCCAATGATAAAATTACAATAAAAATAAATAAAATATATTTTCTTAAGCAATAATATATTATATTATATTCTTAAATATGAATAAATATAATACTTAAGCAGTCACGTATTTTCTCAATTTTTTTGAATAATTTAAACATATTTCTCTTCAATATCCCAACACAATTTTATCATATAAATAATTTAAATCTTGCCTTCGATTACGACTCAAGTTGAGCAGAATGGTAATTACAAAAATAATTTGTTTTCTTATGCAGAATCTCGCAATCAGAGCAGAATCCCGGCATAGAGCCACTTATGCGGCTTGCCCCAGCTAGAAATCTTTTATTTCACATGCATTGCCAGCGGTTACCAGTCCAAGGCAAGTGCCACCCTAATGAACTGCTGCCACTTGAGGGTCTCCAGTAGCGACCCAGGCTCGAGGCACAGAATAGAAAGAAAAAATCAGCAATTTAATGTTGCATTTTATCGCCCGGCGAAGACGCTGCCTTATCGCAGGCAGCCGGGCTCGGGGCAAAGGTGAAGTTGATGAGGTGGTTGCCATTGGCATTGCACGACTGCCTGTTGTTGTATCTATTTGGCTAGGGGGGCAATGTAGCCAGTTTGGTGGTGGCAACTACACGGTTGTCTCGGTTCGTGTCCGGGTAATTTGGCAGCAGCTTTGTATAAATTTTTTATAGGTAATACACTCAAGGAAACGGCACTTAGAGTCATCATTACAAGCGTTTTTGCAGCAATAACAGCCCATCTTGCACATAGTTTTCGCAATTTACTTGATCCCTGGCGAACGGCCGGGAGTCCCAGGAGTGCCGCCTGTGTACATGGGTAACGGCTGCCGTCAAGTGCCCAAAACAGTCGATTAGACATATTTAAGCCAGCTTCGAATGGCATTTTCATCATTTCCTAAGGCCCATTAAAGCCACCGGCTACCACCTGACAACTTTCAGGGGAATATATGAAAAACTTGCCAAAGACTCACATCTTTAGCATTTAACCACTCAATACTAATTGCTGCAGACAATGCAAAATGTACGGCACCAATGTCTAGACTCTAGACAATCCGCCCGCCATTCAATTGAGTTACTCGCCTTTTCTAATACGCCCCTGTGATTTCGTATGGCTTCTAATAATGCAATTGCTTTTTGATTTTCACTTTGGCCGTCGCTTGGTTCTAGCTTCCATTTTGATATTAGTCGACGGCCCGCGGGGGCAACGTGCGCATTTCATAAATCCTTGCTTCATTTTCGCTACATTAAACGTCAAAATATGAACCCATTTGGGCAACATTTTGCACAACGCTGCGAAGGGCAAGCAGCATCCAGAGTTGCTGCTGCCACTAGCCCATTAGAACTACAACAGCAACAAAGGCAGCAACAGCCGGAACAACAAAAGGAGCAGTGCTAAGGTCCGCACACGGCCAAACAATATAATGGCAATAACGAAAGGACCAAAAGAAAACTTATACGAAAAGAGCATGGTGAAAGATGAACGGATATAGTCGCATTCCAGATGCACTAACAGATTTTTTTCCCTATTCCGTGAAGGTAGGAAATAACTAAGGACAGCTTAGGATGCCCAACAATTGTAACCTTGCGTAAATGTATTATACTAGCGAGTATAGCCCGGCCTTGCCCGTAGCACTTATGTTATAAAATCAATCTTCTTAAAAAGCTTTGTAAATGATTTTGAAACTGAGCGGACGGTAAACAAACTACTCTCATACAAGTGGAATTTCCCAAATCGCTGAAACACGTATTCATTATATTCTTATGTAGAGCTTTCAAAATAATATTGATGCAAATCGGACACAACTTAAAATTCACAAAAAAATATCTTCAAAATGCACAAAAGTTTAGATTTTGCAAAAAAAAAAAAAATTAAACACGTCTCAAATGATTTTTAATGTATCCATGGAAATGAATTTGAAGGCGAAAGGCCACCCACCAAATCTTTGACTCCCATTTCCACCAAGAAGGAATGAATTTTTTGAAAAGTGTGGAACACCCCTCAAAGAACAAAGAACTTTAAAATTGAGTTTGAATCCGAGCGGATGGTAAACAAAAAGTTTCATACAAACGTTTTTCGCGATGTTTCCACACCTACGGGTGGAATTTCCCGAAACCCCGTCTTAACGGGCACCTTTATTACATAAGGTAACTACAGTGAAAATTTCAGTTTTGAGATTCACTAAAAAAGCGTTATAGAAATCAAGAATCGTTTATGAAATGAATAAATAAATAATTATTAAAATTTATAATCGTAACTTAATTAATTGTCTAATCTCAACCAAATGCTATTATAAGAACTGAACTTCCCAGAATACCAGAATCAAGGCAAAACTGCGAGTTTATAAATTGAATGTATAAATTGTGTAAAATTCCCGTGTTGCTCACACTTTTTGCTCTTTTTATGAAATTACTTCAATGGTGCTAATATTTTAGAAAAAATACATTAACTGTACCATAATAATAATATTTCAGCTCGTTCTTACATCAGGGTGCATACTTTCTTCTTTCCTTTGTTCCTTCTTTTCATCTTAAAAAATTGTCCAAGTGCTGAGCCTTAAAGCGTAAATTCTTAAAGTTGTTTTAAATGGTTCGCAAAACTCTATCCGTGGTATTGCCCAATGATATGCATAGAATCCTTGGCAGGCAGCTCGCGAAGCAATTTCATCTTAACATGCATGAATTTTCACTGAAACGATTCCACCGAGTATCGTTCCACTTGTCCATTGTCGATGCCACTGCGCACGTTCCACAACAGTGACAATAACAACAGCAACAACAACAATAACAACTCATATGGGGCATGAACCATGGGAGTTTCCCGTTGCAATTACGAGTATTTTTTAACTGCTTATTGCGTTTTGGTCGTCGTCGAACACAAACACGAACGCATATCGCATCCAGCTCCATGCCCACAGTAGTTCCATTACCAACCCCCAGCCCTCGGCCCAGTCATCTCCGGAGACCGTATCGGCCACAGCAACAAGCAACACAACGAACTGAATTTCATTCGATTTCGATGCGAGGAGGATCTCAAAAGCTGTCCAATAAAAATTAACGACATACGCACACAAAGTGCGCAAAGTATTGGACCGAGTGCAGGGGGTTCTGCAGGACCGTTCGGCATTCCGATTTTAAATTGAAATTTTAATTTTGTTGAAAAAGCATTTGTATTGGAAATATATTTTGGTCTAGCTTAATTGATACTGGCTTTAAGATATAACTTTACTAATTGTCAACCAAAAGTATCAAGAAATATTTTGCTTATAGCTATAAATATTTTAAAGATATTTTCTCGGAGTAAAAGCTTAATAATTTTTTAAAATGTAAAATAATTATATTTATTTATATTTTATCATATTCAGGATAGCGAGCCGAGTCGAAAATAACTTAATGAATACGTGGTTCAGCAATTTGGGAAATTCCACCCACAACAGTGGTTAATTAGCGAAAAACGTTGGTATGCAAGTTTAATGCTAACCATCCGTGTTTCACATTTTTCGAAAAACAAAAGCTGCCTCGGTAAAAAGTCCGATTCAAAGATTTTTTTGGTGAATTTATTTTTTGTACGATTTGCATGAAACTTATTTGCTAAGATTTAGATTTAGAAAATTTCGCCCACAACTGAAGAAATTCGGAGACAAAAAATAACTTAACTCTTTGGTTTATTATAGGTTTCAAACTCATTTTCAAAGATCTTTATCATAACTTATGTGACACGCCTTTGCAGAATCCACTGTTATTGAATGGAAAAAGCGGGGCAAAGGTTTAATAAACTCAAGTTTTTTATTCGGCCTCAAGATTCTTAACACAAGACTAACAAGTGCGGAAACCTCTGATTGAAACATTTGGTTCTTTATTCGATGCACTTTAAACATATTTTTAAATAGAAGTAGAGTTCAAGATGGGACGGGTAGATGTCAATTTTTCACGGGCGTGTAGTTGGTGGAAGGGAAATATCGAAAATTTAGTTGTTTGTTCAAATTTATTTCAGATGTGTTTCACATTTTTAGAAAAATCCATTTCCATTCCTCCTTAATATAAATAGGTGTTAAAGATTGCGTTAGTGAGATTCAAAAAAATTATAAATCAAATTAATTTTCAAAGATCCATTTGGAAAATCATTTGAAACTTCTTTCAAGTTTTTCGCAGAATCCAAGTTTTAATTTAAAGCTTTGTCAAATTGACTTCAAACTTCGTTTCAAAGTCCTACATAAGTACATACTGAATACTTTATACAGCGCCTTTAAAATTTGTGGTAAATTGTTGAACGATTAGCAAGTTTTTATTTACCATCGGATTGCCCTAAACTGATTTGTTAAAATAGATATGATACGTTTTATGCTTCAATATTCTCACCTCAAGATTAAAATGGGCAGAAAACGCTGATTTCAACATTTGGTTCTTTATGTAATGAGCTTTAAACCTTTTTTCAGTATCTATATAGAATCAAACTTAAGATATAAATTGTCTACGGGCGGGAAATGGGTAATATTATATTAAAATATTAGTTATTAGATTGTAGAGACTTATATATGGCTTTAACAAGTGCACCGATTGATGAAATATTGATTGGTAATGTTTATATCTTACACGCAATTTTATCTGAAATAGTTCACTGCGCTTAATAGAATACATTAAAATTCGTCCGGCTATCAAATAATGGTATTCTCGAAAAACACAGCATCATTAAAAATAGCTGCTTCACTTTTCTCAATTAAGTGCACGAATATCGTAATTTTTCGACTAAAATCAAATTTATTTCGATGGTCGGAATCTGCCGAAGCTGCAGTAAACTCGGTTGAGGGTTGGAGTGTAGGGGGTAGAGCAAAAGAAGCAGCACAAGAGGTCATAACAATATTTTCACGTTTTGCCTAAGTCCGGAATGAGTTTGTGCAATTTATATGGCTGACAGCCCCTGCCAACGTATCTGTTCCTCTCCCAGTTCCCTTTTTCTGCTACAGCTCCTGCTCCAATGTCGACCCATCCAATCCAAAACGCGGCCGAGCCCAGAGGACGGCCAACAGGCAGCAGACAGCAGAGCTGCTGCTATTATTTTGATACTCAGCGCTATTAACGTTAATTTTCGTTAGTTACGTAATACGTATTCGAAAGCACCTTACACATTCACACACACACACATACTCCCGTCCGCAGCATTCACATATTCAGTTTCATTACGCAAGCAACCCAACCTCATGCTGAATCTCTTCTTTCGGCCGGGAGTAAACAAACGTCTACCACGTGATTGCGTGTGGGCGGGTCGTAGTCGGACCCAGGACCGGGCTCCCACAGCCCTCCGCTTCCACACCGGTGCCCTTTCTGGCCGGAGGCCGTTGGCATTAAAGAGATTTACGAGTACATGATTTTGCATGTTCGGTGCCCCTGATGCCATTTAGATTCGCTTAGGTACATTTTCATCCTTGCCACCCACATAAGCTCGTTTAGACAAACACACGCATACACATACACACACTCCACACGCAGTGCGTGTGTGTATTTGCGTACGCATTTAATGGCCCATTAGTGCTATCAAATACGCATAAATATTTGCACTTGCCAGAAGTTCACGCAGACAGAGATACAGATACATATGTGCACTTGCAGATACAGTTACATGTGAGTCTGATTGTTGGCCGAGGGACTTGGGGCCCACTGAAATATTTGCAGTCGCCAGTTTACTGCTGATGCAGTAGACAATTCAACGTATCGAAGAAAAACAGAAAAACATATAAAACGTAAACTCGTTTCAACATCAATGGATATGAATTTTACTGTCTATGCGTACAAAACTAAAAATGACAGTTAATGACAATTAAAAAATTTAGCTTATATAAACTAAACTAACCATTAATGTAATTACCTAGTAAAGCGTCATTAAAATGAATCATCGCTAGAATGCTCGTCATTGAATACACCCCGCTTCATTACCTGCTGTACTTCGTCTGATGTTATGTTTTTGGTCTCTGGTATGAAGATGACGACAAATAATAGCCCCAACATACAGACAATTAACATAAAATAGAATATTGAAAAATGGCCCACGCTGAACAAGAACCCAATGTTCAGCAGGGTGGCGAACAGCCAACTTATTGTGGCAGCAAGGGCACAGCCAAACGGCCGCATGTGCTCTGGTATAAGCTCGACGTAGAGAATCCAGGCGACCGGACCAAAGCCCATAGAGAACGATGCAACGAAAATGAATAGGGAGAGTAAAGCTGGCCAGCGCCATGATTCTGAACGCATCCATTTGAACCAAACGCACAAAAAGAGCGAAGTCATGAACATGACCACCGAGGAGAACAGCAACAGCGAACGGCGACCAAAGCGATCGACCGCCAGTAAACAGATTAAGTGGCCCAGACACATGGACACACACAGCCACATCACATAGATATTGAAACTCGAATCGGCCATCTGCACAAGTATATCCCCCATGTGGCCCATGATGATAACGCCACCGGAAATATGATACAGCATTAACAGTATAGTTGCCCGAGGAACACTGCGCTGATTGATTTTGTTATGCATGAAGCCCCAACAACTTTGATGCAGTTCCATGTCGCTTCTCTTTAACGTCTGTTTTAGCAGCTCTAGCTCAGTATTTATATCATATTCATCACCGCGCAGCCAGCGCATGGATTTCCGAGCCTTTTCTAATTGTCCGTGTAAGAAATAGTAGCTCGGCGACTCGGGTATAAGCGTAACGGAGAGACAGAGAAGCGCCATCAGCGTACAGGTAACGTTGCCGTACTTTATACTAAGGATCTCGGACAGTATATTATTAAGGACTGCGCCGTAGACAAGGGCGCCATAGAACACGCTGATCATGGCCCCACGCTGATGCTGCCGGCTGATTTCCGCATTGTACACGGGTACTGCTACGCAGAGTGCGGCGCCACAGATGCCCAGTACGCAGCGACCCACGTATACCATGTAAACGTTATTGGCGAAAGTCAATAGGCTCCAGCCTAAGACGTAGGGGAACATTTGAAAGAGCATGACGGGCTTGCAGCCATACATTTTCATCAATACACCCATGGGCATGCAGAAACATGCAGCACCCAGTGGCAGCATTGAATTAGTCCATTCCCACTGATCTTTCGTCAGCTCAACGTTGTAAGCCTTCTGAGATACCAAATTATGTCCAATGTTCGTCCAGCCGATTGTGGTGCCAAAACAGAATACGCCAAAATTGCTAATTGCCCCGGCAAGATACTGGTGTCCAGCCTTGCTAGTTGGTCGAATGATCGGGGGTTTCTGTCGCCTTGACTCAATTCCCGTAAGTGTGACGCTTGTACTCGGTTCCGTAATGGGTTGCATCTCGCCTATTGACGCGATTATAAAAATTGTCTCTATTATAAAAATTAATTAAAAATAAATATTTTAAAATATTAAAAAATATCATTTTCTTTATTTCAAATTAAGAGGCACATGCCTACTTAGGTCGAAATTAATAGAAAATTGTTAATATTTTATTTAACCCTTGTAAAGGGTATGCTATTTTTTTAATGAACGTGTAATGAATGTGTAACGCATAGAAAAGAACATCTCTGACCGGTGAAGTATATATCTTAGCTCAGAATTAACATGCCAGTTCATATAGCCATATAGCCTGTCTGACCGTCCGTCCGTTTTAAAGATATCATATTGAACCTTGCGTAGGTCCCTCATTCTGTTGCAGGCAATACACGTGTCGCAACATCTGTCACGGGTCAAGACATGTCTGTAATAGGAAAAATCGGTCTATAAGTAGGACTTTATGTGACAAAGTATTCTGTTTTCCAATTTATTTTCATCAACTCAGCAATTTCAAGCTGCACTATTCTCACATATTTGCAAAAGGGAAATGTCATCAAGAATATTAAGTCTTCGGTGTGCCGAAGTTATCCCTTAAAAAGCTGTCACATATAACATTGTATATTTATTTATTTTGTATATTAGTCATATATTTTATGGAATTAAGCTATCAGGTGGCCGACCCGAAGGTGGGTGGGCATGGTGGTTGGGGAGGCGTCTTTGGGAAAACGTTCTCCCACTTATCTCCCTGATGGGACGGGCCCCTAAAGATCGCTGGTTAGTCTGTTGGAGTGTGTAGCTAGAGGATTGTTTTACAAAGAAATAAATGTATTAAAATTAAACTAAAATATGTACTTAGATTTGATACATATAGCTGCCAGAGGAACGCTTACGCGAAAATTTATTTATAACTAAAAATATCTTATAAAACGCACAAAGTTTTCAAATTTTCATATGTGTTCAAAACCTTTTAGAAAATCTTCTGTATTTGCTTAAGTCAGAATACAAAATTATAAGCCGCACTGCATGTTCCCTCCCCAGTTAATAAACATTATTTATTTTTATAAATAATTTGCATAATCAATTGATTTATTCGTTGATATATCTTCCAAATATTCGTTTAATTAAAAGTATTTTATATAAGTATTTATATGCCTTAACATGGTATTTTAAATAATAATTTATAACTCCAAAGAAAAAAACCAACACTACACAAAAAATGTAATTCAATTGTAATTATAGAATAAATAAAATATCTGTTTTTGCTTCAATTCAAATGAAAACATTTTTTCGTAAGTTGAATTGTATTTTTAATTGCAAACCAATTAGCGAATGCCTCGAATTACAAATTAACTTCATAAAATTTAAGTCATTTCTTTGCTGCCACTGTACACTCGTGTGGACGTCATTCTTTTTCCGTTTGCGTCCGTGGTATTACAATTTTAAATTCAGTTTCTTTTATCATTTGCATCGCCAGCGCAGCGATCAAGCCGCATTCTTAATTAATGATCAAGGAACTCGACCCGAACATTTTAATCAGCCCCAGTCCTGGTCGCTGCTGCGCACATGGCACTGTCGTCCATTTATTTATGGCAGCTGGCAACATGGCGATGTGGCTCAAACCATGCGAAGGAACTCAGCGGGGCAGGTAAGCAAAATGAGAAATTTATCAAGTTTATTTATTGTCGGGTATGAATTGAGATATAATTTAAAGAACTTACAAAGAAGGCGCAGGCACAGTTGGAAAAAAAAATGGTGGCTTAAAAAAGCAATAAATAACCAGGCCAAAACAAAAGAGTGGCTGCCACACTCTCCTGGCCAACTGGCCTCGCAACCCGAGTTAATTCCTGATGCGCTCTACCATTGGCTGTTGCCCGTGGTCCGCTGTTCCATGGCTGCTGCTCAGAAGCAATCGCTGCGACCACGACGACGACTCACTCGACGGCCTCATGCTGAGCCCGTAATTAAAAGTCATAAACTATTTTTATGGCTACTCGTATATTTGTCGCTCAGCTGCGGCCACAAACTGTCAACTGCTTGGCCCTGGTCCGATTTGCATGCGCGGGCAGCTCGTGGGAAGCGGCAACAGCGACTGCGACTGCTATGGACTCTAAGTCTGAGGCAGGCTCTTGCACTGGACTTAGTTTAGAGATAATCCCATGGCGGCAACAAGTGACACAGACGCATTTATTTAATTAATTAATTAATTAATGCATTTTGAATGCAGTTAAAGTGTAGCTAAGTAGATGCTGTGCAGGTTGCTAACCTCCAATTACTCAGATAATTTTCTTTGCACATATTTGAGCTGCACAAAGAGAGAGAGAGAGAGACTGAGTAGTCGTCATTAATTGGACTTAATGTGCAACTAAATCATTTGACAAAATGCAAATTAGTATTTATGCGATTGTGCAGTTGTCGTTGCTCGTTTGATCGGACATCCAGTTGGTCTGGCTGTTGCATTCAGACCTGCACTCAGTGTGACACATAATTTTTGATTAGTCCTTAACAAATAATTGTAGTTTAAATAATTTTAAGTGCAGCTGATAAACAGCGAGTCATACAATATAATTAAACGAAATTATTTTCTGCGTTAGGCATGAATTGAGATTTTCATAATAATTGATTATACACTTTTATAGCCTGCTTATATAGCATAATACAATATTTATCATGTTTCTTAAGTAAAATAAAAACGAATTAAATTCAAATAATCTTCGTAGCTTATTTTAATGCTAAACTTAATTACAAACTGTATTTAAACAAGTAAGAGGTTCTAGTCGGGAGCTCCCGACTAGGGGATACCCTGAACCCTTCTTCCAACATCATATGAATATATATATTCTATTTTAGAAGCTATATATCAAGTTTGCTGACTATAGCTCTTATTATTTACCAAAATTGCCCAAAAAACAGGATATCGATATCGATTTTTATCGATTGCTTGAAAACGGAGTAAGTTATCGATTATCGAAAACAAACAAGATCTGCGCGGGAACTAGGAGCATCTACATCTAAAATTTCAGTCTCTAGCTCTAATAGGTTCTGAGATCCTTGCGTTCATACATACGGACGGACGGACGGAGGGACAGACAGACAGACGGACATGGCTAGATCGACTCGGCTATTGATGCTGTACAAGAATATATATACTTTATGGGGTCGGAGATGCTTCCTTCTGCCTGTTACATACATTTGGATTTTGCACAAATACAATATACCCTTATACCCATTTTTAATGGGTTTAGGGTATAAAAAATGTTTTTCGATTTTGGGCTTCAGTAAATACACACATATATGTATATTTTACTTAGATCTTGTTAAATTATAATTCATATATACAAAATAATAATTTGTTTAGTTAATTTACTAACTGAAGCTCTGTCAACTTTCATGGGAATATCACCTCTTCATGTTATTTAACTTTGTGAATATTTTGTACCGATACATAATATAAATTCCATATTAAACAAGTTATCCACAGCCTACGTACCTGTATTGAAGGCTTATCAAATTATATATACAAATTACTTGCGACTAAACTAATCAATGACTAGCAATCCGACAACATAGATTCTTATAAGTGTATTCATTGCTGATAAGCCCAAAATATACTCGATTTCTAGGAGTCGACTTAATTTTGCATTGAGTTGCTCTGTTTGCGCGATGGCCAAGGATGGCAAAAAGAAAACCAACTCAAGGAAAACGCTGACTTTGCTTGTGAAAGACTCAATCGACGTGGCACTTGGAAGCGCATGTGCATAACCGCCCATATTTGGCGGGGCTGCTCCTCTGGCTGAAAGGGATGGCAACATGAAGAGATGCTCAACGAAGGTGAAACTGAAAGCCAGTCGCTGTGGCAACCAAGGACCTCGTCCTCGTCGCTATTGTCGTCGCAGTCGTTGTATTGATTTTAGTGGGGCATTTACGCGCGATTATCGTTTAGTCGGCGATGCCCGAAGTATTACGAGAATTGTTATAGCGCAAACGACACGATACCACCATGTTGCAAGCAGTTGCCATAGTCCTTCCTTTTCTGCTCGCCTGCTGTTGGCCAACAAACGCACCATGACACCAGCAGCTGCCTTCAGCTGTTCGTACTGCACTTCAAGTTGTTGCTCCCGAAAATTGGCATCAATGCGCCGTCGGTGTTTATCGAGCAGCGTTTATGCTCAACTCAGCTATTTTAAATAAGACCTTTATGTAACCAGCATATTATAGTTAATCGAACTTTGATCCAAGTGCTAAGAGATTAATACGTTTGACGTGAGGTTGCGTCCTCTATCATTTATATTTTAGATCTTGATGAAGTATACAAACTTGGGGGTATCCCTTTATTTTCTAGAAATTATATTATGTTAACCAGTTTCATATTTATCGGTTAGCAACAACATTTTTATACCCTGAACCCATTAAAAATGGGTACAAGGGTATATTGTATTTGTGCAAAATCCAAATGTATGTAACAGGCAGAAGGAAGCTTCTCCGACCCCATAAAGTATATATATTCTTGATCAGCATCAATAGCCGAGTCGATCTAGCCATGTCCGCCTGTCTGTCCGTCGAATGAACGCAAGGATCTCAGAACCTATAAGAGCTAGAGACTTGAAATTTTAGATGTAGATGCTCCTAGCTCCCGCGCAGATCGAGTTTGTTTCCGATAATCGATTACTTGCTCCGTTTCCAAGCAATCGATAAAAATCGATATCGATATCCTGTTTTTTGGGCAATTTTGGTAAATAATAAGAGCTAGAGTCACCAAACTTGACATACAGCTTCTAAAATAGAATATATATATGCATTTGATGTTGGAAGAAGAGGGTTCAGGGTAACCCCTAGTCGGGAGCTCCCGACTAGAACCTCTTACTTGTTCTATCCTGTTTCTGTCCTGAAATAAAGTTAAAATTACATATATAAACTATGAGGGTACCTAAAAAATAGATTAGAACATTTTTATCAAAAAAATTATGATAAAAACGATTAAAAAGTCAATTCAAATTCCGTTTTAATTCTGTGTAATGCACTGTAAGTGACGAAAGAAATTATTCCAATATTCGCACAACTATTCGATTCTCA